ATTTTTTTTCTAATTAATTTTTGGAAGGAAATGTTTTTTAAAAAACATTTCTATTTTTTAGTAGAATTTTCTATTTTTATTTTTGCTTAAAATATTTTATTTCAATCAATTTGATGTAAATGTTTTTGATAAAAAAACATTTTTTTTTTACATTCCCAGAATGAAAAAGTATTTTTAATTCAAATTAATTTTTCTAGAATATATTTTTCTTATTATAAAAAATATGTATTTATTTATTTATTTACGAAAATAAAATTATATCTCATTAAAATTCTTTATTTATAATTAAATATTTTAGTTTATATATTCTTTCAATAATAAAATTCCATTTTTCTTTTTTCTTTCTCAAAACTTTGATTTTTAACTGTAAATAATTCTAAAAATCAAAAGAAAAAAGTTTTATTTTATATAAAAAAAAAATTTACGTTTCTCTAAAAAAAAATTATATATTTTATAAAAAAATTTTTCTCAAAAATTTATTTTTCGGAATTTTTTTGATTTCTTTAAAATTTTTGAATTATTCTTTCTATCTTTATTTTTTCAAAATATAGTTTCAAAAGAAACTATATTTTGAAAAAATACAGCATTAAAATTTTTTGTATAATTTCATTTCTCTCTCTAATTGCGTAGAAAAAAAAAATAGTTTTTAAACCAAAAAAAAAGAGAATTTCAAAATTTGTTTAAAAAATTGTTTTTTTAATAAGAAAAATACACAAGGACAAAATTATAATAATATACAAAAATTTCTCTTCTTTTCTGTTAGAAAATTTTTGAATTTTTTTCATATCAATAAATTGAAGAAACAATTTCTATTGATCGAAAAGAAGAAAATTACTTTATAAAGCGCACAATTTTTAAGATACAAAAATTTTTCTTTTTTTTGTAAAGAAATTTTTTTTTACATGTTGAGTGACGAAAATAGAGGATTTTTCGGCGGATTTCTTTTTTTTACACTCGCCTACGAATTACGAATGTGTTGCTTTTTTTATTTATTTATTTACTTTACTTTTTATTAGAGGGACGTTGTTATTTTTACGAATAATATTAATCGCAATTAATTATAATATTATAATAATAATATAATGATAATAATAATAATATAATAATAATAATAATAATAATAATAATATAATAATAATAATATAATAATATAATAATAATAATAATAATAATAATATAATAATAATAATAATATAATAATATAGCAATAAATTAGGAACCAAGTACAATATAAAATATTACGAGAAATTAAATTATAATATGCTATTTTTTTCGTTATCTAGGAGACTATTTATAAATTGTACGGTACGTTCTAATTGTCTATTGATTCTCAAATTTGCTGATTGGAAAGAGAAAAATTTCTATTATGCTTCTTTTTTTCTTCGATTTTTCTTCTTTTGAAATCACTCGAAAATTGAGAATGTATTTGATTTTCTTTCTTTCTTTTTTTTTTTTTTTACAAAAATATCGTGAATTTAAAAAGAATATATTTTTTTTCAAGAAAAAAGATTGAAAAAAGTATTCTCCCACTATTTTTTGATTTTGGGAGAAAAATTTTTGTTTTCAATTTTGACTAATTTCCCAGGAAATTTTTTTCTCAGGAGGAGAAAAAAATAGGTTTTTTCTTTTCATCTAAATTTCCAATTATTTTTTAATAGAAATTTTTAGAAAAATTCAATTTTTACTATATAAATTTTTTTTACAATTTAATGGTAAATTTTGCCAATTTACAATATAAAAAATTTTTTGTTCTCAAGTCCTAGAAATTTAATCTGTTTTAATTAAATTTCTTTCAAATTAAATTTTACATTTAACAAAATTTTGCAAATTGAGAAAAAATATTTCTCCGAAGGCAAAAAAACTTTTTTTTCTCAAGCAGCGATGAAAAAAAAGAAAATTGAAATGACAAAAAAGAAAAGAAGTGTAAAATTTGAATTCTTTATTTATGTTTAAAAAAAAAAGAAAAATTTTCTCTCTACAGAAAATAAGCGACTTGATTAATGAAAAATTTTGAATTTTTCCGCTAATAAAAATAAATTGACTTGAAATTTAGAAGGGAAATGTTTTGTATTTTTTTTTTAAAAAATCGACTATTTTTTTTGTTTAGTTATTAAAAGACAATTTATCGAGTGCTTGGGAATATCAATCGCACCAAATATCTACAAATGTACAAATCTGTCGATGGACAACGCCCGGTTCTCTCTCACTCATTTTTTTTTTTTTTAATTCTTAGCACTCGCTCTCGATTATTTTTTTCTTTCATTCATATTTTTTTCTCTCTTCACGCTTATAATCAATACTTCCATAAAAAGTGCAAAAAAGAAAAACCCTAAAGGATAATTTACTATTTACAAGCGACGACTGCACAACAAATATGGAAGATCGTTACATTCGATCGAGTATTTTTTTCTGTTTTTTTTTAAACTTTTATTATTATTATATTCATCCCTATATATTTATATTTATATATAAACATTATTTTATGGAAATGCTGCCGCGGAGCTTTTACAATTAAAAAAAAAAGTTCTCCGAAAGCAATTTTGACATTTTTTCTTCTATTTTTGTTTGAGATTATTTTCTATTTTTTTATACAGTCAGTGCTTTGAAGAACACGAACGTGAAAATTTCTTTCGTTTCATAATCTCGAGAAATTTACTTATTATTTTTCCCACTTTCTCTTTCTATCTTTTTGATTTATTTCCAAAGGGCGAGAAATGTTTTTTTTTACTTAGAAAGAAAAAATACTTTTTTTTTAAAAAATAGTTTAACGATAAATTTTCTACCGTTTTTCTTTTTTTCAAATCTGAAAAATAGGAAGAAAAATTTCGAGTAAATTTTCTCCCATTGAAAAATTGATTCGTGAAAAAAATTTTATTCGTCCATAAAAATTTTTTCGAAAGATTTAGATTTTCTTTTTTAAATTCTCCTTCTTTGGAAATTTTTTTTTGAAGAGAGAAAGAAAAAAAGGCGAGTTGACATTTTAACATAGCGATTCGAAGTTTATTTCAATTTTTTTCTTACTATTTTATAAATGCAATATTGAATTTTCTTCGAAACTAAATTAATGAAAAAAAAAATGCTCCGGGAATGTTATTATTATTATTTGTTTTTTTTTTGCGAAAGAAGAGAAGCGAAACGGAGGAGAAGCTTTTTTTTAAGGCAACAAGTGGATGTGGGACAATTTTTCTTTTTTTGTGAAAAAGAAAAAAAATTGTCTTTCGAAGGACAAAAATTTGTTTTTTTTTATTCTCAAGTTTTCGCAGAGAAGCTTCTCCTTTTTGACTTCTTGAAAGAATTCGGAAATTAAATTTTACATTTTTTTCGGAATAATTATGTATTACAAAAAAACATAATTTTTTTGTTAAAAGAAATACTTGAAATTTAAATTGAATTTGAAATTTTCAAACATTAAAATTTTGTTCTATTGTTTTATTTTTAGGGGAAAATTTCTTTTCGACTTAAGAATATTTTCTAATTTTTTTACGATTCTTTCTTTGTTTTACAAAGAATGTTTTTACGTTTCTTTTGTTTTCTTACAGAAAAAAATTGTTTACATTTCTCTTTTTTTCGTAAAGAATTCCTTTAAAAAAAAATCTTCCTTCTCGAAATAAATTTTTTCTTTCATAAAAAAGACTTTACTTTATAAATGCTTTCCTCGAAAAAAATCTTTTTTAAACGTTTTCTTTAAAAAAAAAACATTTTTCTTGTTTTTTTTCGAAAAAAACAGTTTTTCCAAGTTTTCTATGAAAAAAAATTCTTATTACTCGAGAAATTCTTTCTCTATACGAAATTCTTTTTAATTTTCGAGAAAAAAAATTCTTATTTTAAGAAGTAAATTTATATTCAGTAAAAAATTTTTGTTTTTTACGAACAAATTATTTATTTTTATCGGTGTTTATAATTTTTATTTTAGTTTTTAAAAAAAATATGTTTTGTTTTTCTTAAGAAATTCTTTATTTTCCTTAAGAAATTTCGTTTTTTTACACGAAAGAAAAGTTTTTTTTTACAAATGAAATATTTTTTTGCTTAGAAAATTTTATTTTTTCTTTAGAAAATTTTATTCTCTTTTTAGAAAATTTCTTCTCTCTTCAGAAAGAGTTTTTTCTCTTTAGAAATTTTTTTTCCTAAAGAAACTCTTTTCCGTTAAGAAATTTTTTTATCCTTAAAAAATTCTACTTTTTTTTGTCCAAAAGAAATTGTTTTTCTTCATTTAAGAATTTTTTTTCCCTTTAAGAAATTCTGCAATATTTTTTTCTTCTAAAGAAATTGTTTCTCGCATAAGAAATTTTTAACCTAAAAATAATTTTTCCTAAAGAAATTTCTTTTTTTCTACAAGAATTTCTTTTTTCCCTAAAGAAATTAATTTTTTTTTTGGTAAGAAATTTCTTCTTTTTTCCCGGAAAAACCATTTGAAGAATTATTTTTTAATTTGAAAAATTACTTTTGCTATTTAAGAGAAAATTATCGTTTTACAAGAAATTTTCCTTCTGTAAAAGAAATTTTCTTTAAGAAATTCTTTATTTTCCTTAAAGAATTCATTTCCCAAGAAAGAAATTTTTCTTTTTTTTAATTTCCCTCTCAAAAATTACATTTTTCTTTCTTCCCCCCTTTCCAAAAAAATACATTTTCAATTGTCACTCCTCAAAAAAAAATTAATATTCGAAAAAAATTTTTTTCCGAATTCTTTCGCATTTTTGAAGATTTTCTTTTTCATCTCAATCATCGGGCGTTTATCGTCATTTAATACTTTTCGTAGTCATTTTGCGTGTACATTGTCACTCTCTTTCCTTCCCTCTCTCTATTTCTTTTTGCTTTACTTTTACTTTCAAATTTTGAATTTTCAATTAAATTATTATTTACTATTATCTAAAGTTTCCACTAATTTTCATAAATTTGAAGTTAAAAAAACATTTTTTTTACCCTAGTTTATAATTTTTTGGGTAATTTATTATTTTATTTAGGAAAAGAATTAAAAAAAAAGTGTAAATTTTCTACAAAAAAAGTACAAAAAGAGGTGAGAGAGAGAGAGGGAAAGAAATTACATTTATTTAGTTTTTTTTTTTGTTATTAAAAGAAGAAGATTTTTGTGGAAAAAAAATTGTTTTGCGTGTGTTTTTTTTTGACTTCTCTCTCTTTCGTTTCGTTTTTTTTATGCTCATCAGCGAATCCTGGAGACACTTGAACGATCGCGTCTCGTCGTCACTGGTTTTCTCAACTTGTTTCGTTATTCGTCGACTCGGCTATTGACTCGAACGCTTTCCTTCGCTGATCGTTGACATCCGCGTTGATTCCGGTTGCGGATTATTCCAACCGACCATTCGCGTCTGCTCTATCGACTGTGAAAAAAAATTAACAATTTTTCAATTTCAATTTATAGTTATTGACAATTTGAATATTTTAATTCTAAATTTAAAAAAAACAATATTCACTTTCAATAATTCTGGATTTTTTCTCTTTCCTTCGAAAATAATTCTCAATTTATCTCTTTCCTTGAGAATAATTTTCAATTTCTTTTTTATCGAATGTATTTTTACTTATTTTTCATTTAGCTACTTCATTATTAACTTATTATTTATTAAAATAAAAATATAAATTATTATTTATTAAAAAAAAAAAAAAAAAACAAATTATTATATTATTTATTGGCAAAAGGAAAAAGAAACAAATTATAATTTATTGTCAAAAGGAAAAAGAAAAAAAATTTTATACTCAATTTTTCGAATAGTGGAATATTTTAAAATGCCTCTTTCTAAAGGGAAAATTAATAAATCAAAAAGTAGAAAATTGAAAAGTCATCATTGACATCTCTATTCAAATTTTTTTTCTCAACCATTTTTTTTTTTCACGAAAAGCGGAAAATTTCTTCATTATATATTTAATTATAATTCTTTTTTTTCGAATGCGTATCATCTCGTATAGATTATTATTGCTTAATCATTCGAGAACATGTATAGATGCGGAACTTTCAATTTAACGGAAGAAAAGAAATCATTTGTTTCCCCTCTTAAGAGAGAGAGAGAGAGAGAGAGAGAGAGAGAGAGAGAGAAAATAAAAAAGATAATCAGAAATGGTAAATTGGAAACAAAAGAAGAGAAAAGAAAGAAATTAAGATAAAATTATTGTCTTACCGAGTTATTGTGGTCCTTGGCCATGATGATCATAAGAGAGTGACTGTGATGGCTAAACGGCCTCACTCGACTAGGACCATCCACCGTATCGACACTGCTACTGAAGCAAAACCAAAAAAAAATCGAGGTGTTATTACTTTTAAAACCAATGATGACAAAGAAACATTTATTGATATTATTATCATTATGTAATTTTTTTCTTCAAAATTTTAAAATAATTGAATTTTTCAATTGTTCGTGAAATTTGATTAAAATTCTATTAAAAATAATTGAAATCTTGCGATAAGTTTCACTATTTATATGAAAATAATTGAATTCCTAGAAAAAATTTTATTATTTATGAAATTAATTGAATCGCAGTAAAAATGTTATTATTTATAAAAATAATTGAATTATTGCGAAGAAATTTGTAAAAAATTTGTAAATAATTGAATTCTTGTCAAATTTTTATTATTTATGAAAATAATTAAATTCTTTTCGAAAATTTTATTAAAATAGAAGAAGAATCTTTTTTAAATTTAATTTTTTTAAAGAGTTTTTTAAACTAAAATCCATTTTTTTACAATTTAATTTTACGAATTTTCAATTATTCGGTAATTCTTCAATTAAATACATTTTAGAAAATAAAAACTTTCAATAATTTCAAAAAAAGAAAATTCAATAAAACCTTTAAAAAAAAATTAATTGTACAGAATTAATTAAATAAAATTAAAAGTTAAAAGTATGAAAAATTCAGATTTTCAAAGATTTAAATTCGAAACCTTTTAAAAATTCAATTGTTTCTAAAAATTCATACAATAATGCTTTTATTATTTAATTATTCTTTAAAATTTTAACTAAAATTCTTTTTTAAATCTATTTTTACTAGAAAATTCTACGAGAATTCAATTTTTATTAGAAAATTCTACGAAAATTTAATTATTTAAATAGACAAATAAATAATTTATTGAAATTCTGCGATGAGTTTATTATTTATGAAAATAATTGAATTTCTCAGAAGGATTTTTATTTTATTTATAAAAATAATTGAATAGTTCTGTAAAAAATTTTATCATAAATGAAAATAATTGAATTATTGCGCGAAGAAATTTATAAAAAATTTGTAAATAATTGAATTCCAGTAAAATGTTAATTATTGATGAAAATAATTAAATGTTTGCGTAGAATTTTATTAAAATTATTTTGTTTAAATAATTGAATTCTTTTGGAAAATTTTATTAAACTATAGTATAGATATTGGAATAATCGCATTGAATTGAGAAAAATTTCTGAAAATAATTGAAATTTTGCCAAGAATTTGATTAAAATTTTTGAAAATAATTAAATATCTCAAAAGAATTTTATTATTTATATAGAAAATTGAAATTTTGACGAGAATTTAACAAAATTTTTAAACATAATTGAATGTTTGCGAAGAATTTTATTACTTTTGGAAATAATTGAATTTCTTCAATCATTTGTAACTTTTCCAAAATTCAATTTTTTTCGTGTTTTTAACTAAATTTCTTTTATTTATTAATTTTTAATAGTAATTAATTAAATATTTATTACAAAATTTAACTAATTTCAGAAGAATTTGAATTATTAAAAATTTTTCCAAAATTTAAGTTATTCTTTAAAATTTATTTTAATTTTAGTAAATTTCTTTTTTTGGAAATAAAAACTTTACTTTCATAGTCAATTTTCTTTTTTTAGAAATAAAAATTTTACTTTCAGTCAATTTTTTTTAAAAGTAAAATTTTTACTTTCAGTAAATTTTCTTCTTTTAGAAATAAAAATTTTACTTTCAGTCAATTTCTTCTTTTAGAAATAAAAATTTTACTTTCAGTCAATTTTTTTCTTTTTGAAATATAAATTTTACTTTTAGTAAATTTTCTTCTTTTAGAAATATAAATTTTACTTTTAGTAAATTTTCTTCTTTTAGAAATAAAAATGTTACTTTTAGTAAATTTTATTTTTTTTCAAATAAGAACTACTTCCATAGTCAATTTATTAATTTTTTTTTCTTAGAAATAAAAATTTTACTTTCAGTCAATTTTCTTTTTTTGTTTTGAAATAAAAATTTCACTTTTATAGTAAATTTTTCCTTTTTTAGAAATAAGAGTGTTACTTTCTTAGAAAATTTTCTTTTTTTAGCAATAAAAATTTTTCTTTCAGTCAATTTTCTTTTTTTAGCAATAAAAATTTTACATTCAGTCAATTTTCTTTTTTTATCAATAAAAATTGTAATTTCAGTATAAATTTTCTTTTTTCGGAAATAAAAATGTTACGTTTATAGTTAAAGCGTGATATCGACCACATACGCGATTGGTGCATTTGCGTATATATAGTGAAGAGTTAGCGTGATAGTTACCTCGAACGTAATTCCTTTTGCTTCCGTTTACAATGAATGTAAGCCGCTATGCAAATGATAACGACGAGGAATACTGCTATCGTGGCACCACCAGCGATGCTGGCAGTTTCTAGCATGACCCGTTGCCGAGAAGCTGAAAAATATCACCAAAACAATTAATTTCATTGGAAGGAGAAAAAAAATACTAATAACAAATTTTCGCCCATTTAATTGAATAATATTGTTTAACAATTTGTTTTTTCAATAAGAAATTAAATTGACAAAAATTCTTTGTAATGATGGAACAAGATTTCTTTTTATTAAACAAAAAAATCTTTCTAAAAAAAATTTTTTTAAATAAAAAAATCATTCTAAAAAAAATTCTTTTTCTATGCAAGGAAAAATAATTTTTGCAACACAGTAAAAATATGTTTAATACTTACGTAAATAGGAACCATCTAAATCTTTGAATTCGCATCTCTGACCAATAAACCCATTAGCACATCTGCAAAATAAAAAAAAAGGAAAATTAGTTAATAAAAATAAAATTCATACCCAATGGTAAAAAAAATTTATTTTCTAAAGAAAAGAATCCAATAGTTTAAAGAGAAAATAAAAATAAAAAAATCATATTAATATAAATTTACTAGAGAAAATTGAAGATAAAAATTTTTAAAATCATTGTTCCAGGGAATAGAGAATCAATGCCAAGGTGAAAAAAAATATATATCTATATATCGGTTCACAATATAATTACAAAGATTCTCACGATTTCACGATTAGTTACGCAGATTCTGAAATTCGTTCTAATTAACCTCAATTTTTCATTCATTTCAAATAAATTCTCATTTCAATTCGACATATAATTTTTATATAATAAAATTTTTCGTTTGGAGAAAAAAAGAAATTCAATTCATAATAATTTCTTAAAAATCCTGCTAAATAAAAATTCAACCATGGAAAAAATTTATACCTACTTTTATAAAAATCCTACTAAATAAAAAATTTAGCTAGTAATAATCGGGCTAAATAAAAAATTCTGCGCTAAAAAAAAATTAAACTAAGTAAAAATCCTGTTAAATAAAAATTAACGAAAAAAATCCTGCTAAATAAAAATTAAACCAAATAAAAATCCTGCTAAATAAAAATTAAACCAAATAAAAAACCTGCTAAATAAAAAATTTTGCTTTAAAAATTATCTGCTAAATAAAAATTAAACCAAGTTAAAATCCTGCTAAATGAAAATTAAAACCAAATAAAAAACCAAGTAAAAATCTTGCTAAATAAAAATTAAACCAAATAGAAATCCTGCTAGATAAAAAATTTAGCAAATAAAAATTCTGCGCTAAAGAATAACATTATTTTTTTTTAAATTCTATTGATTTTAAAAATTTAGCCAAGTAAAAAAAAACAATCCAAATGAAATTTCGGTAAAAAGGAAGTTCGGTTTCAAATAAATTACGGTAATATTGCAATATTATAGTGACTTTCTTCACTTTTTAAATTTTGAATTAATGGCGTATTTTACAAGTTACTGCGATTTAAAGTCAGCGCCCAATTTCTTTCAGCCGAAAAGGGAGGGGGAACTCTCCATTTCTCTCCCACTCATTGCAAATTCGGCGCAGTCTTTAAATCGCAATAATTCGTAAAATTCGACACTGATTTAAAAATAGTAAAAGACTTTTTTCTTCAGAATTCGATAGGAAGTCGAAATCGGCCATCTGAATATATAAAATATAATTATAAATAATAATGAAATTATATATCATTTTATACATTTTTTAAATATATTTTTATATTTACAATAAAAAATATATTTCTAAATAATAAAAAAATTTTATGTAACATAGAATTATACAGAAAATGATTATTATATAATAATAAATTATAAAATAATATTAATATATTAATAAAGTATATATCCAGAAAAATTTCCTGAAATTTATTAAATATTATATTTAATATTTGTATATTATAATACAGTGGAACCTCGATTATCCGAACTAACCTAGGTAAGGCCGGGTTCGGATAATCGAGGTTTTAATGATTTTGATTATAAAACAGAGAATTCCTGATTTTTTAACATAAATTTCGTTATTTTGCTTTAAAAGATGCTAAAAATGTCCCGCGACAATATGAATGATAAAAAAAATAGAGAAAATAAATGTTAAGATTCGGAAGGTCAAGAAAAAGTTCGGATAACAGAAGTTCGGATAAAATGATTTTTGGTTCGGATAACAGAGGTTCGGATAATCGAGGTTCCACTGTATATATTTTTTGTATTACAATATATTTGATAATATATATATATAATACATAATAAAGTGAATGAATAATATTTTATTTTTACACCAATAAAAATAAAAAAGAAAAATTCCCAGACGATGAGATTTTCTTCTTCTGTGAAAAAAGTTCAAGGAACCAGTCTCTGAGTTTGTAAATATATTTATATATAATAAGAAACGTGAGATTTTTCAAAAAAAAAAAAATTTCTGTTTCTTCTTTTTTTTTGGGTTGATGTAGAAAAATCACACAGTTCATCTTGCAAATTGATCAGTCGGTGAATTTTTCAGAAAAAAAAGAGAGAGAGAAAGAATAAGAAAAACAAGTGCTTGAAAAATAGGGCCCTCCCGCTATTTTTCCCAGGACAATATTCTATGCGGACAATAAAATTTGAGAAAGCGATTTCAATTTTCTCATGGCCGCGTGTGCCGGTTTGAATGGCAAAATTCCATTTTAAGGACGTGTCGTCTCGGCAAGCCATGGGATTATAGAGACGGAACAAAATATATAATATAATTTCAAGCCCCGCTCCGCAATGTCCCTCATCTATTGATTGTATCTATTTTGCTCCCTTATTATAGCCCACCTCTAAACGCGAACAATGATAATTATATTCCTGCGGGTTCCGCGTTTATGACTCACACACACACACAAATTCTATTTATTTATAAATTTAGCTCAAAAAAAATTCTATTCTCCCCCCACTCTTCTCCCATCGCCGAAAAAGCAAAAAAGGGCCGAAAAATGGTTTTTAATTAATTTCAGACTTTGCACTCGATAATTAATTTTAAAACAGTGTCTTTCAAACTAAAAAAAAAAGTATAGTAAGAAAGTATATCAAAAAATTAAATTTAAGGACCAAAAAAATTCCAGCCATATACATAAAAAGATCATTTCTATAAAAATTTTGTTAAATAAAAATTCGTGGCTAAACAAAACTCGATTGTTCAAAAATAAAATAAATAATTGCACGAATATTGAACGCGTCGGGACATTTTGAGAATTTGCTCGCGTTTCCAACTTATAGGCGGTCGTGTATCAAGGGAAAAAAAAATGCCAGGAATTTGGTTCGTGACTTTATTCAGAGCGTTAGTTCGAGGACCCCCCCTCTCTTTTCCTCTTTCCTTCATTTTTTTTTCTGGAATTTACGGTAGCTTTTCGTGTCGGCACATTTTTTATCCGTCCTTACACACATACATTCACATATAAAAATATACACACACATATACATATGTAAAGCAGGTTTACTCATGCACCAAAGTTCCAGGACTATTTTTCCTTGTCGTTTAATATAATGCAACGTAATTTCCTACGTGTACAAGAGAAGTACTTTACGTCACGAAAGCCACCCTTAAAAAACAATCTATTCGCAACAATTCTCGAGCTTGCGATTATTGCGAATAAATTGTATTTAAGCAAAAAAAAGAAAAAGTCGAGAAAAAAGAAATATTCATCGATTCAAAAAGAGTAATTATTACGAATTTTATTTTTAAATTTACTTATTATTTTGTAACAACAGGGTTGCAAAAAAAAATTTAATTTTGTTTTTCCCTGATTTCCAGACAAAATTTTGATTTTTTACGTATAACACTAAAAAAAATTTTCTGATTCACACTAAAAATTATTAGATATTAAAAAAAATGTTCTATTACATTTACGAATTTTTCTTTTATTGTAAAATTATTCAAAAACATCAATAAATTCTTTTTTAAAATAAATTTATAATATAATTATTTTTCCGTAGTAATTGAAATTGGGTTTTCAAAATCAACGTTCATTATGATAATTTTCAAATCCATTTGTTTACAATTCATAATTTAACGAAATTTTGATTATTCGCAACTTCTTCGATCAATTTAAATATATTTTAGAAAATAAAAATTTCAAATTTAAAAAAAAAAATACAATATTAAACTTTTTCAAAAAAAAATTAAAATTCTAAGGAAATTTTTATGTAAAATTATGAAAAATTCAGATTTTTAAAGATTTTAACTTGAAACCTTTTTTAAAATTCAATTATTTCTAAAATTTCAAGGTATAATAATTTTAATATTCAATTATAATTTAAAATTTATAAAATTCATTTTTAAATCAATTTTTTAAATAATTGAAATTTTTTAGACGAATTTTAATAAAATTATTAAGAAAAATTATTACATTTTTGAAGGAATTCGATGATAATAATTGCGAAGAAATTTATAAAAAAAATTCGTAAACAATATAATTATTCTTGTGAAGATTTAATTATTATCATAAATAATAATAATTATCGAAGAATTTCAATTATTTTTAATTGTATTTTAAATTAATTAATCGAAAAATTCAATTATTTTCATAAATAAAGTTTCCCACAAGAATTCAATTGTTTAAAATAAAAATTTTCATAATATATTTATTATATTTCGAAAAAATTAATTTTTTAAACAATGTTTATAAAATTTTTATGAAGAACTCAATTATTTTTAAAAACAACAAAATTTTCCACAGAAATTCAATTCTTTTTAAACATTTTAATAAAATTTTTCACAATAATTCAATTATTTTCACAAATAATAAAATTCTTCTCAGAAATTCAATTATTTTTGAAAATTTTAATAAAATTCTTCCAAAGAATTCAATTATTTACATAAATAATTCTTCGAAAGAATTTAGTTATTAAAGATAAATAACAAAATTATTCCCAAAAATTCAATTATTTTTGGAATATTCAATTATTTTAAAAAATTCTAATAAAATCTTCCACAAAAATTCAATTATTTTCATAAATAAACAATAATCATTACAAGAATTCAATTATTTTTGAAAGTAATAAATAAATTTCTTCTGGGAAATTCAATTATTTTTAAAAATTTTAATAAAATCTCTCACAAGAATTTAATTATTTTCATAAATAATAAAATGATTTTTAGGAATTCAATTATTTTCAATAAATTTTTAATAAAATGACACACAGACATTTAATTATTCTCAAAAATTTTAATAGAATTCTTTGTAAAATTTAATTATTTTTAAAAACTTTTAGCAAATTCAATGATTTTCAATATCTACTATATTTTCATAAAATGTCCAAACAGAATTCAATTATGTAAAAATCTTCGAAGAATTCAATTCTCTTCATGGATATAAGAAAAATTTCTCATTAATTCAATTATTTATATAGAAAAAATTTCACTTATAAAATAGTGTAAAATAAATTAATTTACAAACTTTTTTTTGCTATAA